CCACACTGCTAACGGGACCATGCTAATAACAGTACCATGTTGCTAACAGGACCATGCTACTAATAGGACCACACTGCTAATGGCATCATGCTGCTAATAGGATCATTCTGCTAATAGAATCATGCTGCTAACAGGACTATGCTATTTACAATACCATGTTGCTCACAGTACCATGCTACTAACAGGACCATGCTGCTAATGGGCCCATGCTACTAACAGGATTACACTGCAAACAGGACCATGCTACTAACAAGATTACACTGCCAACAGCACCTTGCTGCTAACAGGATCATGCTGCTAATAGGATCATGCTGCTAACGGGACCATGCTAATAACAGTACCATGTTGCTAACAGGACTATGCTGCTAACAGCACCATGCTGCTAATAGGGTCATGCTGCTAATAGGGTCATGCTGCTAACAGGACCACACTGCTAACAGGACCATGCTGCTAAAAGGACCACACTGCTAACAACACCATGCTGCTACTAGGATCATGCTGCTAATAGGATCATGCTGCTAACGGGACCATGCTAATAACAGTACCATGTTGCTAACAGGACTATGCTGCTAACAGCACCATGCTACTAACAGGACCATGCTGCTAACAGGACCATGCTTCTAACATTAACATTGTTTTTGTAACACAATTTTGTTACTTGCTTTTTGTGTATCGTGTGTGTTCTACTGTATATGTTTGTCTAAAATGGTCCTCGTGACTCGATGCGACTAACCTGTATGAATAAATGTTGAATAAAATCAAATGAACATGGCCGCTCCCTCTGCAGCGGGTGATAAATGTTGGGATGAAGTCACAGCAGAGTTGTCAGCACAGCTCCTTCCTCTCAGACACGCTGCCAACAGGATGTGCTGAGAGGTGCATTAGAAGTGATAATGAAGAAGACACTTCACTCGAAAATGGGGCAATTAAAGATGGGGGTGTAAACGCTGGAGGGGGGAAATGTCCCTCCAGAGGCTGAACTCAGATCAGTTAACATCAACCACGTCCGTGTGTTTCAACATAAAGACTCACACTGATGTGTGTTGTCTCTTGTTGTTACCGTGAAGGCTAGCAGTCATGTCTGTCTGTTAGTAAAATATCTCATGAACCACTGGGCAGATTTTATTGAAAGTCTCAGAATTGGAACATATGAGTGAACTGATTACGTTTTAGGGGATCATCTGGATTCAAGATGGCTGCCACAGCTAATCAAACTGGGCAAACACAATACTGGCTACGACTCGGTCAGTTTGACAGATGTTGGCCAAAGATTTGTTGAGATTTATCGCCAACTCGTTCTCTGAGCACAAACACATCACTTATGTCTTTAAACATCTGTTAAGTTCCTGGAAAAAACAATGCAGATGTTCCGGTTTTTAGTTTTCTACACCACCACATAATCTAGCTGTTTTTTTGCTGCTTTAATTATCTTTTTAATTACCATTTTATTTTCTCTTGTTTAAAAAAATAAATACATTTGTACGCATCCTTTATGATTGTCTATTGTTGTCTTTGTTTGAGTCCCCGAGGCTCCGTGGGATTAACCTGTCTAAAGGTTGAATGAAGAAAAAAATGTTAAAAACTTTGGTATGCAGGGAAAAGTGTATTTCTTTAAGGAATAAAATGTTTATTACTCTCCATCACTAAAAGCCATAACTTTTTTGTCACTGTGTTTGCAATGTTAGCAAAATACCTCAGCAATTAAAAAAAAACCTTTTAGAAACTAACCATTGGATGACCGTTTACAACTGATTAACTTTTCAACCTGACTCAAGATGGCCGCCAGAGCTAATCGACATTAGCAAACACAAAATGGCTTTAATCAAAAGTATGGTCTAAAATCTACAGCAACAACCCTGAAGTGCAGGGCGGTGGGAAAGCATTCAAAGAATGATGCTTTTATCAAAGTCAGTCTCCTTTATAATTCCATCATATGAACAGATATACAAAGAATCAAAATTACTAATAATAAATTATATCTATATATATATATATATATATACACTGAGAAAAATAATTAGGTGCATGTCCACTGTGAGAGACATAATCTAAAAAAAAAAAGAAAAAAATCCAGAAATCACAATGTATGATTTTTTTTTTTAAATAATTTATTTGTGTGTTACTGCTGCAAATAAGTATTTGAACACCTGTGAACATCAATGTTAATATTTGGTACAGTATTCTCTGTTTGCAGTTACAGAGGTCAAAGGTTTCCTGTAGTTTGTCACCAGGTTCACTGCAGCAGAGATTCTGGACCATTCCTCCACAGATCTTCTCTAGATCAGCAGGTTTCTGGGCTGTTCCTGAGAAACAGAGTTTGAGCTCCCTCCAAAGATTTTCTACAGGGTTCAGGTCTGGAGACTGGCTAGGCCACTCCAGAACCTTGATATGCTTCTTAAGGAGCCACTCCTTGGTTCTCCTGGCTGTGAGCTTCGGGTCCTTGTCATGTTGGAAGACCCAGCCATGACCCATCTTCAATGCTCTCACTGAGGGGAGGAGGTTGTTCCCCAAATCTCACAATTCATGGCCCCGGTCATCCTCTCAATAATACAGTGCAGTCGTCCTGTCCCATGTGCAGAAAAACACCCCCAGAGCATGATGCTTCCACCCCCATGCTTCACAGTAGGGATGGTGTTTTGGGATGGTGCTCTTCATTCTTCGTCCTCCAAACACGGCGAGTGGAATTAAGACCATAAAGTTCTATTTTGGTCTCATGTGACCACAGAACTTTCTCCCATGACTCCTCTGGATCATCAAATGGTCAAACTTCAGACGGGCCTGGACGTGTGCTGATTTAAGCAGGGGAACCTTCTGTGCCGTGCATGATTTTAAACTATGACGTCTTGGTGTATTACCCACAGTAACCATGGAAACAGTGGTGCCAGCTCTCTTCAGGTCATGGACCAGCTCCTCCGTGTAGTTCTGGGCTGAGTCCTCACCTTTCTTAGAATCACTGATACGCCACGAGGTGAGATCTTGCATGGAGCTCCAGTCCGAGGGAGATCGTCATTCATGTTTAGCTTCTTCCATTTTCTAATAGTTGCTCCAACAGTTGATCTTTTTTCACCAAGCTGCTTGGCAGTTGCCCCATAGCTCTTTCCAGCCTTGTGGAGGTCTACAATTTAGTCTCTGGTGTCTTTGAACAGCTCTTTGGTCTTAGCCATGTTAGTAGTTGGAGTCTTACTGGTTGTGTGGGGTGGACAGGTGTCTTTATGCAGCTAACCACCTCAAACATGTGCTTCTGATTTAGAATAATCAGTGGAGTGGAGGAGGACTAACAGGTCTTTGAGGACCAGAACTGTTGCTGACTGGCAGGTGTTCAAATATTTATTTGCAGCAGTAACACACAAATTATTTTAAAAATCATACATTGTGATTTCCAGATATTTTTTTTTAGATTATGTCTCTCACAGTGGACATGAACGTAAGATTAAAATTTCAGACCCCTCCATGATTTCTAAGTGGGAGAACTTGCAAAACTCGCAGTGTTCAAATATTTATTTTCCTCACTGTATACACACACACACACACACACACACACACTGTGGGTTTCACCTTTCACCCAAATCACCCAAGCTTTGAAGTTCTGAGATTAGTCAGAATTTAAGAAAGTCAGAATTCTTACAAGACTGAATTCTGAGTCGCAAAAAAGGCACTAAGATCCGACATGAATGATGCTCATGCCGAAGAATTCCAATTTTTTTCCTTAAAATTAAGAAAAAGAAAAAAAAAATTGCACCGTGGCTCTTACGTATTTTTTATTTAGTCTTTCAGAGAAATGCTTAAAAATATTTCGTTTTTCTATTCAGGCAATCTTCGGACACGTTGGGGGGGGGTCCTGGCTGATGACGTGATCGGAAAATGAATGCTAAAGCCCAAACTTAAGACATTACTGCGTTTTCCTTTACATTAGTATTAACACAAACCTAAAAATGCGTAGTACACATTTTAAACCCCAAACCGGCTCAAACTACGCTTACACAAAGTTAAAAGGTGAGTTTGTTGTTGATTTACAGTCTTTACAAATTAGCACGCTAACTAGCCTCGTCTGCAGTTAGCAACCAGAAGCCGAAACTGCTTTGAACATTTCGCTTGTTTAAACTTGTTTTGGCTCGGAGACTTATGTTTTGTACAAAAACAGACAAAGTACAATTGTTTGCTGTTGAGTTGAAGCTTTAGATATATTCGGCTTATAGAAAATCTAGTAAATCGCTCGGTATATCTAGTAAATCTGGTTATAATAGTTTATAGATTTACTCAGGTAGCGTCAGCTCCTTGATAAACTGATGAATTAACAATTATAGCAGGATCTATTTTAAAAATTATAAACCGAACAGGCTTTTTCAAGTTTAGAGCAGAGCAGGTAAACTGGAGTCCATTAATTGAATTATGAGATTAGTTGGAGGCTGAACATTGAACGATGACTGGCTCTGGTTTTAGTTTCACTGTAATAAAAATACTAAAGACAAGTTTTAATTTCAGTCCGCTGGATTAAATTAAATACTTTATTCGCATTCTTTTAACCCTGAAAGGTTCTGTTTAAGAAAGAAATAAGATCTAAAGAATCTTAAGTCTGTAGCTCAACAATCAGTTTCACTCAAAAAAAAAAAAAATCTTCTAACTTTAGTACAAAAATTAAATGTAATAAAAGTAAAAACATGAAAGCACACACAAATAATCCAACACTTAAAAATTAGCAGGTTTTCTTCAGTGCAGCTCTTTAAAGTTTTACATTACATTTACGTTTAACCCTTGCTTTAAATTGAACAATTTTAATTTAATATAAAAGTGCAATAATGAGTGTATGTTTGTATTTGTTAGAAAGTGTAAAGCTGAGGATAAAACATCAGATCAACTTTATTTATAGTGGAGGTTCAAGCATTAACCTCCTCAGCCGACTCCTTTCGACGCAGAGGAGCAGCGGTTCTCCTCCGAGCTCCCCCCGGCTGATGGAGCTCCTCGCCCTCATCTCTGAGGCTGAGCCTCGTTCTTTCAGTCATGATCCGAACCTCATGACCTCAGGTGAAGGTCGGTGCGTAGACACTGACAGAACCATACATCAAGATCTTTGCTTTGGACTGAACTCATTCTTCTGACCGAAGCAACGCCCTCATTACTGACGAGGTCCTGATCTGTTGATCCATCACTCAGGAACAATACGTCCACACACCTGAATTCCTTCACCTGAAGCAACCAAGCAAAGAGCTGCACAATGAAAACATAAAACAATGAAAACAACAAAACAGACAATAAAAGTTTAAATCACCTCCAAAAGTATCTTTACTCCACGCAGGAAAACAAAGTTAACATTTTATTGTTGATGTGTCGCGCTAAAACACTTTAATGAGTTATATAATTTGACAGAGTTGTAATCATAATTGTTTTTTGTGTGTGTGTTCAGCTTCAGGTCAGATTAAAGCCGACGCAGCCACGTCTCAGAAGCCCCAAAAGAATGCCCAGACGACGCACTACATTGAGCTGGGAGGGTACCAGTACTGGCCGGTTCTGGTGCCCAGAGGGATCAGGCTGTACACGTACGAGCAGATCCCAGTGTTCTCGAGAGACAATCCTTACATAACGGACGGATACAGAGCCTACCTGCCGTCCAGACTGTGCATTAAAAGGTGAGACGCATCTGCGTAAACAAGCTCGTTTGTTGTTTACATTTTCTTCAATGGTCTTGTCTTCACCGTTCCTCAAATTCACAAGTACAACGTGTGTGTAGCCGAGGTGTTACTGAGTGACTCGGCGTTCACGCTGGTTACCTGTTTATAATTCTGTACGTAGTTTTCAAATTAAGGTTCTTTATTGTCATTCACATCGTATGTGGTACATGAGGTGGAATGAAATTGTGTACTCAAGGTTCAAAAATATAAAGTATATATATATATAAAGGATCCAATATATATATATACTAAAGAACAACAATAATATAGTATAATACGGTGTATTAAACAGCAGCCTGAACATGAGTCTGTTGTGAGCAGATGGGTTTGAATACAGCAGCTTAAAGGTTGCACAGATAAAGTGACAAATCTAATGAAAGTGTCATTACACTGGTTTTACTGGGCAGGGATTTACGAGTCTAACAGCTGTAAAGTAACCACTTCAGCAGATTTCAGCTGTTTTAACTGTTCAGGTATCAAAACGTGCATCTTGTTCATTACAGCTGCAGCTTTGGGTTTTCAATCCATCCAGCATGTTCTGAGTCTCCTCCCAGTTGGACATGCCTGGAAAACCTTCGTAGGGAGGTGCCCATTCTTAACAAGATGCCCGAACCAGCTCAACTGGCTCCTCTCGATGTGGAGGAGCAGCGGTTCTGCTCCGAGTCTCTCCTGGAGAACTGAACTTCTCACCCGATCTCTAAGGGGGAGTCCAGCTACCCTGCGGAGGAAACTCATTTAGAGCTCCTGGATCCATGATCTCGTTCTTTCAGTCACCATCCAGACTTCATGACCATAGTTGAGGGTAGGAACATTGACTGACCGGTAAACAGAGAGCTTCACATTACAGCTTAGCTCCCTCTTCACCACAATGGACCGGCACAGAGAACGCAATACTGCACCAATCCGTCTGTCGATCTCCTGCTCCATTCTTCCCTCTCTCCAAACTCAACCCTGAGATATTGAACTCCTCCACTTGAGGCAGAACCTCACTCCTTTTTATTATTTTTTTTAACCGTTGAACTTGTTGAAATTCATCATTTTCTCAAAACTTTATAAAGAAATTTTAAAAACCTTCAAAAAAAAAAAAAAAAGTGCTTTTTGAAATCTTCTCCAGCATATCCGTTTCACTTTTAGCTGCTGGTCTCAACTTTCAGTTTCTTTTTGCTGTTTTAAGATTTTCATAATTTTAACATTTTTTTTTTTTAATGATTTTTGACTAAACAGCTGTTTCAGTTAATTCCAGCTGTCATCCAGCTGTCTCAGTGTTTATTGATGGCAGTGCAGGTTTGTGTCTTTGCCTTCGTTTGTACGTACAATCAACAGAGTTTGTAAAACCGGACCGTTCTCTGCGCAGCCTTTTCATCTTGTCCAACGAGACGGTGAACATCTGGAGCCATCTGTTGGGCTTCTTGCTCTTCTTCTGTCTCGGGGTTTACAACATGGCTTCGGTTCTGCCGGCCGTCGGCGCCTCCAGAGAAGACTACGTCATCTACTCCATCGAGCTCTTCTGCCTTCAGGTCCGGTCCCGAGCTTCACGTTTGGATGTCGCAGTAGATCCGACAGTTTCAGAAGCTGACGCTTATTAGTTCATCTATAAGTGTTACAGATTGTTTAATATATATTTGTGGTTGTGTTCCTCAGCTGTGCATGCTCTGCTCCGTGGGTTACCACCTGTTCTGCTGCCATCGATCAGAGAAAACCAGCCGCCGCTGGATGGCACTAGACTACGCCGGCGTCTCCATCGGCATCCTGGGCTGCTACGTCCCCGGAGTCTTCTACACCTTCTACTGTAACAACGTAAGTTATAAACATTAATAATAAAAGTCAAATGACCACTGAGACATCCAGGACATGAAGGGTTAATAACCGAACACCTCTGGTTACCTGTTTTTACTCCTTTAATTTATTTTATTAAAAAGCACCATTTAAAAAATTTATGGCTGCAGTTATACAGACTGCAGCTGTTCAGACTAAATTAAAGAGTTAAAAGTATTAAATCATGTAGAAGATATTCACTGAGACAGATTTTATATTTGCAGTTTTTATTTTTATTTCTACTTTTTGAGTAAAAAATGATTTATACTGTAGTTTGTCTTGTATGCCTTTATGGAAAAAAATTAACATTTTCATAATGTATCAAAGCTACAAGTTAAATGTATCAAAGGGCTAGCTACAAGCTAAAAGTATCAAATGGCTAGCTACAAGCTAAAAGTATCAAATGGCTAGCTACAAGCTAAACGTATCAAGAGCTAGCTACAAGCTAAACGTATCAAAGGGCTAGCTACAAGTTAAACATATCAAATGGCTAACTACAAGTTAAACGTATCAAAGGGCTAGCTACAAGCTAAACGTATCAAAGGGCTAGCTACAAGCTAAACGTATCAAGAGCTAGCTACAAGCTAAACGTATCAAAGGGCTAGCTACAAGCTAAACGTATCAAAGGGCTAGCTACAAGTTAAACGTATCAAAGGGCTAACTACAAGTTAAACGTATCAAAGGGCTAGCTACAAGCTAAACGTATCAAAGGGCTAGCTACAAGCTAAACGTATCAAAGAGCTAGCTACAAGCTAAACGTATCAAAGAGCTAGCCACAAGCTAAATCCCATCCAGAGGACTTGACAACTTTGTTAGATTTTCGACCTGGATTATTGAGCAGCATCAGGACTTAAAATGTTTCAAAAGGCTAGCTACAAGTTAAAAGTAGCAAAAAGGGTCAAGTAGTAAAAGTTGAGCTCAAAATAAGAGCTGACTAAAGCAACAAAACAAACTCTAGAAGCTAAAGTATATAAAAGTTTCTCAAAAGATAAAATATGAAGAGGTTACTAAAAAGTAGCCAAGATCAACTAAATGAGGAATAGTATCAAAAATGTTAAATTAGCATTAGAAAAAAAAGCAGCTGAGGCAGATTTTAATGGAAAGTTTTTGAAGAGAACTTTATGAATTTGTTTTAGGAAAACGTAAATAAAGTTGGATATTTGGAAATGTGTAAAGAGTTAAAAAATAAATATGAGCTGAATGTTTTTGTACAAATAATTTACTTCTTGAAAAACGACACGCAGAATGTGAATAATACTGAAAAAGTACAACTTTATTAGGAGATTGTTTGATTTGCCTTCGGCCCAGCGTGGTCCTGAGTCCAGACTTTATGGAAGAAAAAGATCAAAGAAGAAGTTTTAAAATAAAAATGAGAAGCTGCAGGAAGTCCGGCCCGTCCGAGGCCTTCTGCTCCACCTGGACTCATTTCACCGATGAGTCTTCTGAAGAAGAAAACTTGTCGTTTGTTCGGAGATACAAAGTACTGAAGCAGGATCGGAGTGTAGGCTGAGACTCGGCGCCGCGGCTCGGGAACCAGTAATTCAATAACGTGGACCTGCGGTTCTGGCTCGGCCCGTTGACTCATTGTTCCCGGTGAAAAAGCGTCTCAACACCTTCGCCGTTTGGAAAGCAGCCTCCGATGACACAAACCGGCTTCGGCTCCTCGTTCCAGCCGCCCACCACCTTGTTTTTTAATTTTAAATTTTTATTTTTTTAATCCTGAAACGTCTGGCTCGGCTGCTCGCGTTCCCCCGCGCGTTGGAAGCGCCGGGTTATTTTGCCCCCAGAACTTTGCTGAAATCTGCTCCAGCCCGAACCAGATGGCTGCGTTCGCCGAGTGCTCCGTCACTCCTGTTCCCCGCCATATGACGCTCGCGAGTCCAGGAGCAGACTCGACCCCCCCTCCCCGCTCCTCCCTCCCTCCGGTGCCAAGACGGGGGCTTCGCTTCAAGGTGGCTCCGCTCCGGTGGCGAGCCAAGTCCCCGAAGGAAAACAGATTTTTATATTTAGCCAGTCAAACGCTCGTCTGAGTCTTTCAGGGTTTGGAGGAGAGCTCAAAGAATTTGGCTGCAGCCGAGCGGGGCCTTGTTCCGGGTGCAAATTTATTCACTGTGAAATTCAGCGGGACGCGTCGCACGAGGACGTGTGACTGGACGGAGGCCGGCTTCCTCGCAAGCGGACAGACGGGACGGAGACGAGGCCGTCCAGACCGTCCTCGGCTGCTCGGAGAAGTTTAATCGTAGCTGTTTATCTGTGAAAACGAGTCCGGCTGCAGGGGAGAGCTAACGCGCAGAGACGCAGCCAAAAACACCAACAAATAAAGCTGCACTTATATAATCTGAATTAACTTCGGCTGCCGAGGGACCAGTTCAAGGAGCCGAAAGCGAACCGTCAAAACAATGCAATATTCAGAAATGAAAAGTAGTTGAAAGTGGTTAAAAGCTAAAATGAGCTAACTGTAGCTAATTGCTCAAATAAAGATAACAGTAGCTAAAAGTTAAAGCTAAATCCAGTAAATGCTCAAGTTAGTTAAGAGATTGCTAAATACTTTAGCAAAAATTTGGCTAAAAGCTAATCTGAAGAAAACTGTAGCTTAAAGCTAAAGCCAGTAAAACAGTTTAGTGGCTAAAACCTAAATCTAGCACAGTAGCTGAAAGTTAAAATTATTAAAACTTAAAGCCTGCAAAACTGTAGCTGAAAGCTAAATTTAGCTAATATATAGCTAGTTGCTAAAATCGACTAAATGATAGCTGAAGTTTGTAAAATTGTAGCTAAGTTAGGATTATCAAAACCTATAGCTAAAGGCTAAAATGATCAACACTGTTGTCAAAAGCTAAATTTAGCAAAGTGGTAGCTAAAAGCTAGCAAAACTAGCTAAAAGTAGACTTAGTAAATCATAACTAAATGCTAAAAAAAAAAGAAAAAAGCTATATAGTGACTAATAATTTAGTACAACAGTAGCTGAAAGCTACACCTGTCTCCACCCTCATTTGCCCCACTCTGGGCCCTTGACCTCCACCATCTGCTCCCCCGGGCGCCTCTCTGCTCCACACAGGGCTGCGGTTGCGTCAGGAAGGACATCCAGTGTAAAAACAATAAGCAAATCTTTGTGCGAGTTGGTTCACTGTGGCGACCCCTGAAGGAGCAGCCGAAGGAAGGAAAAAAAAAAAAAGTAGCTGAAAGCTCCCAGTTTGTTTAAATGCCGCTCTTCAAATGTTTGTCCTAACTTCCTGTTCTAGTTTTTATTTAAACACCAAGGATGAGCTTTGTTTACTTTCTGATTTGAAAACGTGTTTTATTTTAAAAACAAGCATTTGGTTGGTGTGCTTCAGTTTAACGTTGCCCCCCCCCCCCCCCCCCCAGTACTGGCGGCAGGTGTACCTGGTGACGGTCCTGGCCATGATCCTGGCCGTGTTCTTCGCTCAGATCCACCCTCTCTACCTCAGCAAGCAGTGGAAGCAGCTGCGCTCGCTCATCTTCTGCTGCGTGGCCGGGTACGGCCTCGTCCCCACCGTCCACTGGATCTGCGCCGCGGGGGGGTTCTCCTCCGAGCTCGTCCAGGTGAGCGTTCAGCCTCACCTGAACACTTTCACTTTGGTCACGCTTAAAAATAAATAAATAAATGTTTCCTCTTTTCAGGCTTTTGTCCCTCGAATCCTGGGGATGTATTTCATCGCAGTGTTGGCCATTATTTTTTACGTCTCCAAAGTTCCTGAACGCTACTTTCCAGGTGAGAACGTTTTGGTCCGATCTGTTGTTTTTTTTTTTTTTTTGGTCATAATTTCAGGTCGTTCTAAGATTTAGAAAATGGAAACCCTGCAGCTCTTAATTTTAAATTAGGGCCACTAAGCAACAAAAAAACAAACATTACTTGAGTAATGCGTATCGTATGAAGAGTGTCAGAAGTAGTCGCACAAGCGCACGTTTTACAAATGTGCACTACAAGATTCACAAACGCATTTTTCAACTGTACACATTTCAAATTGCACAAGTAGGAATGTTCTACACACAAATCACCTGCTCTGGACGGACCAACTTGCCTGTGAATGTGACTTTTGAGACTTTCTTACTTTTCAGTTTCACAAAGAACGCTGCGTTCAAGACTGCTGAGAAGTCGGGACATCTGAGCTTTACCAGATTTACCGAGTTATTGGGGAAAAGCACAGAAACTCTTAACTCTTACATTACTAGATTTTAAAACATTAATTTTGTTAACTGTACGGTTAAAATAACGTAAAATTCTTTCATGTGGAAAATGTATCAAGAAAAAATCCCCGGTAGTTTTTCCACAAGAAAAACCGACCCAGTTTTGATGTTACCTTTAAACCGAACGGCTACAATAAACATTCTTCTTGTGGAAAAAAACTACCGGAAAAATACGAGTCCGGTACTGTGTGAACTGTACAACTACTGAAAATGGTTAATGCCACACGTACACGTGTTATCATTGTGCACGTGTGTTTGACACGCAGAACAGTCCTACTTGTTCAATTTGAAACGTGCACGTGGATCTTCATTTACGCTCGTGTACTTTTGAGACACCGCTCGCCACGTTTCACTTCCGAGTTCAGACGTCGTCTTTTAAGGAGCGACAAAGCTGCTGCGGTTTAGGTTGAAGTGTCTGGAACGACTCTCAGCTACTACCACACCAGTGTTCACCGAGTTACAGACACTTGTAAAGCTTGATTAGCTGTGGCGACCATCTTGAATTGTTAATGTTGTAGATGTTTAGTAATTTATTATATTTTGCTGACAGACAATACGGCCATCTTTATACGAGTCGTATTGCGTCATGGCGTCTGTGGACAGTTTCTTATCTGAGCTCTGAATTAACTCGTTGACACCGAACACTGTAAACTACATTCACATCTACTTGGTAGAACACCGATGGAACATCGTCGACTAACTTGAGGATGAGTTCTAGTATTTTCTTCTTGGATGAGACGGCCACGGACCGTGACGGTAACGAATAAACACAAGCGATAAAAATGTTGATTAATGTCAAAGAACAGGAAGTAGACGTGACTAAATGCATAAATACTGACTTTGAGCAGCAGCGTCTGTAAAAAGGTCTAACAGCACAGCTGGACACCTCATAGGTCAAGGTCACAGAGGTCAAAGGTCACCAATAACAAAGGAGCAATTTTTGACCTTCATAATACAGTCCACATCAAGTTGTCCACTCCAGATGTTCAGGTTAGAAATGGACTATGGCTCCACATTGGATCCTGTTTTAATTCAGACCACTTCCACCAGTTAAATCTGGAGTCCTCTGATAATGGACTGGTTTGGATCAGCTGGTAGTCAACAGGTGAGTTCTTCACACCTGACAGCTGCAGTTTCATGTTCCTGCACAGACCCGTTTGGTGGTTTACACTGTGGACTACGTCATGATCGGTCACCGTGACCTTTGACCCCGCCACCATCATGTATAAACCCAAAGGACAGAGTCAGGATTGTTGTGTGAGGAGATCTACACTTTGGACTTCTGAGTACTTTGACGTGGTTTTGAGTTTCCTCTGGTCCACCTGTTTGTCTCTTCAGGTCAGCTGAACTACCTGGGCTCCAGCCACCAGGTGTGGCACGTTCTGCTGGTTCTGATGTTCTACTGGTGGCACCAGTCGTCGTGCTTCATCATGGCGTACCGACACACTCAGCCGTGTCCCGACGCTCCCCAACATTCATAGTCTAGAAGAACCGGGCCCCGACTGTGAGCAGCTCGTTTCTCATATCAGCTGAACTTTTGTAAATATTTAATAATTAGTACCCGATATCAGAAAGAGGCTAAAGTTTCCATCCAGGCTAGGCTAATGGCTAGCCAAACGAGAGCCATTTTTCACTCTTACGAAACTCCTCTTGAGTTGTAGAAGTTTATTATTATTTATTGTGACGTTTGTTCACATCTGGATGTCGTCAAAGCTTCTATTGGAAAAGTCTGAACACATTATGAACATTCTCCGACAGAATTATTCAGATTTTTTTTACCTCTCTGAGGCAGACTGGACTGTATCAGACTTCTTTCTTCTCCCAGCAGATCAGCACAAACAGAGACACTGGAAACCAGGAGCAGCGAAGAAAAATCAATTTAGGATAAAACGTTTAAAGAGTTTCCTGTCATGAAAACAAAGCTGCAGTCCTCTATAGCTCTGTAAGTGCCTGTACATGAAACCATTTAGCTTTTTGCTAAACTCAGACTTTGAGCTTTATTCTCTAATGCAATGGTACCCAACACTATTCCTTGAGGAACACCATTCTGCATGTTTTCGTTTCCCTGCTTTGACACACCTGATTTAAATGAATGGGTGATTAACAGGCTTCAGCAGAACATGAAGTAATTAAATCAGGTGTGTTGAAGCAAGAAAACTTAAAACATGAAGGATGGTGTTCCTCAGGGAGCTAGGTTGGGAACCACTGCAGTGCAACACTTTAAATACTTTTAGTTTAAGGGAAAATGACTGTTACGGGTGAAGTTGCACTGAACTGCAGACGTGGACGTGTTTACTGGCGGATAAGAGCTATTAGAGACGCTACGTTAAAACTGGAAGTATTCTTCTCAAACGTGCATTTTTATTTTTGTGTAGCAGCAACGACCGACTGTTTGAACTAGAGTACAGGTACTGCACGAAGTGTTCGGACCCCTCCCACTCATTTCAGAGCATCTCGTCTTGTTGTTGGGAGAGACCGGAGTTTACTACTGGAACATTTTGCAGCCTCGTATCAAACCGTGTCTCAGCAGCTGAAGGGACAAAGTCATTTCTGTTTGCAGCGTTAACCCCACATTCTTTTCCTTCTTTTTTGGTGGTGTAGACGTAATAACCCAACGTATGTCCTTTTGGCTCATTTAGGGTAAAGTGCAATTCTCATATTTCACTGTTTAGTATTTTAATGACTTCTTTCCAAAATGCATGTTTAACTTTAGAGCTGGGTGGTTTCATGTGACCTTTCTGTTCCATGAGTCACTAGGAGCGTACTATAGTACCGTATTTTTCGCCCGACAAGTCTCGTTTTTTTTGCATAATTTGCATGCTCTTAAGACTTAAAGGCCTTTTTTCCCCATATTTATAAACCAAATTTTATCTGAGATATGACCATTTTCATTAATTCTGACTGAAAATATTGAACACTACCAGTTTCAGCCACTAGATGGCACTCGAGGTGTATGGCATGCCATTGTATTATGTAAAAAGTAAACATGGCTATAATGACAACTTCAAAAAAGTTCAAGACAAAAACAACTGGACCTTATTTATTATACTTTATTGTTTATGTTTTGAGCTGTTTTGAATTTACCATGTCCTGGATGACTGAGAATCTTCACTGGCTATTAATGACACAATCGGCTTGCCATAGCCTTCCACCTTCATTTTGCTGCACTGCCCTGACAAAATGCAGCTCATTTGAATGTTAAAGTGCATTTATTAATTAAACGTTCAACTGAGACACACCTTTACTATAATTTAGAGTAAACAAATAGTTGTTTTTAAATGTTTATCTTGTTAAATTATTGTTAAAGTCCTCCCTGTGGCAGACAATCGATTTTTGGCACAACACCGGCCCACATTTCCGGGTTGTTAGCGGTGACGCGTAATAGATGCAACGTATACGGCGGAAAATACGATGCATGTAGGATACACCGAGACAATTTAGTTATTAACACAACAAGCTTGTTTCTGATCTGTGGGAGGAAACCCATCCAGACTCACTCGCTCCAGTTTGAAGTCCAGTCTGTGAACCCTTAGGTTCTTTCCACCCAGCTTTATGACCTAAATGTTTGTCATTTTGGAATTAATTTAAGTTTTAGGATTTTTTTGTTGTTGCATTGTTTTAAATTATTCACTGTCCTGATGTTTCTGGATTTTTATTAAAAAAACTGTCTTTTGTATGTGGAAGAACCGTTTTTATCATTACGTTGTTACAAATGAATAAAACAAATGCTTCTTTTAGCACCAGAAGACGTGAAGCCAGAACTGTACACGTTAACCAGACGATCTAAACCTGACTCTGCTTCCCTTCAGACACGTCGGCAGTTACGGCTCTGTTACTACCTCATGCCGACACAGAGGAATATAAACCAGACATTAAGAGTTTTGTGAAAGTGTCTAAAGACGTTTTGTTCTTAAAGGGACGTTTCTGTGGAACACTTATGTAGGGATGCACCAATCCACTTCCGATACTGGTCTGATACAGAAAAACAGTGCAACAAACTCACCGTGCTCTTTAGGGTGAAATCTCTGGAGATGCTTGATTAAGTTGGTAGTGTTATCTGGAAGTTGCATCTCTACACTTATGACCAGTAAATATCTTACACGAGACCAAGTCTCGGATTTTTGGTCTGAAACTTCAACGGTTTAAATCTGTCGTGGGATTTGTTGTGTCAGTAGAAACTCTAGAGTCAGAATCCTGGATATTAACTCCATTTCATTTATTTCTTACTTCTAAAGAACTTGAAGCTCATAAAAAGGAAAATTACCAATAATTCCAAAGATGCTTCCTGCAGGAAAGAAAAAAGGCCCAACTGAAAGGTGACAGAAAAAAGAAAAGCTCCAACTTTCTTAAAAACTATTATAAAAATCTTTCCCTTGTAACGATACAGAACCACGCCCGGGTGAAAAATGCATAGAGGAAACTTTAAAGAGGCGCAGCGAAGTTAAACCCCCCCAGACGTTTCCCAGGTTCTGGGAGGCGAGGCGGAGCCCAGCTCACGTAAGGCTTGGCGGTGCTGAAAACTCGTCAGAAGGCGGACGACGAAGAGTCGAGAGTTGATCTTAAGAGTCACGGTTCGGTTTCTGAATTCAAAGTTGTTGAAGATGCAGCATCACGAGGCTCCACAGGATTCAGTTTGTTTTTACTCTAATAAAAATCATCAAAATTATCCCGACTCGAGAGGGAAGACTCAGGAAACTGTTACTGCTTTGAGGGGAAAGGTGCAGCTCCAAACGGGTCCAGGTCCAACGGCTGCTGCTGAGGTCCGCTGTGGATCACCAGTTCTGTGAACGGCACTGCTCCGAAGTCATCCGTGTTCTCTCCGCCGTTCAGAGACCCGGTCCAGGACTTGGCAGCGCTCACGTCACTCTTATTGTCACCGAGGCCCGGGTACTGGCCGAGCCGGCCGCTGTCCTGAGGGTGGAAGGGTCTGGCTCCGAACGGGTCCAGGATTGTGTCGTCCGCCGACAGAGACGCTCCCTTGTCCTTCCCTTCGGACATGGTGATGTCCACGCTGATGTTCTCTTTGGAGTCGGAGGTGCTCAGGAACTCGCTGCTGCTCTGCGAGTCCCTGCGGCCAACCTTTTTGTGTCGGCGGATTCTTTCGGGGGTGCGGTAGGTGGGCTTGTTGCTCTTGCGTCCTCCGGTCGGGGTCCCGTGGTGCCGTTTCCCGTTACTGCCCCCCGCCGCAGCCTCTTGCTTGGTTTTCCTTTGTCGAGACGACAGCTTCTGGAGGCTGCGCTGCTTCAGCCGCTGCTGACTCGCCGACTCCTCGAAGGACGAGCGGAAAATGTCATCGGCGCTCCTCGAGGTGGTGGGGGGAGGTTCGGTGGGGCCCGGCTGGAAGGGGGAGAAGCCAAAAACATCAATGGCCTCGGGGGAAACGGGTGGCGTTTGACCCATGGGGATGTCCCCGCCGCTCTTTCCGGACTTGGAGAGGTTCCGGCTGAACGGAGCTTTGATAAAAACGTCAAACTCGGCGGCGGCTGGACGCTCGAGGCTCACCTGCCTGAAAGGTGCTTTGGTGAAGATGTCGGTGCTCTTAGAGGACTCCACAGGTGACACTCCTCCAAGGAAGGGAATGGCGCCAAACACGTCCACGTCCTCCGAGGGTCTCGCTCCGCCGGGGGACAGAGGAGGGGTGATCAGACTCGCCTCTGCAGGAGTCCTGGAAGCCGCCACAGGTTCTTTACGGCCTGCAGGTTTCTTGGAGCGGCTCTTGACCCTGCTGGGTTCGTAGTCCGAATCGGAGCTGTGTTTGTCTTCATCCTCCTCTTCCTCAGAGTCCATCAGCAGAGGCCTCTGTCCTAAATTCTCCGGCTCGGTGTCCTCGCCGTGCTCACTGTTCAAGGCCTCCTCCTCCTCCTGCTCCTCCTCCTCACTGCTTTTTGGTGACGGGGGGTCAGACTCGAAGTCGCTGTCCGACTCGTCGCCGGGTCTGACGGTACTCTTCTTGCTCGGTTTGGGCTCCTTGGTCGACTCCGGACCCTCAGTGGAGGCTGGAACCACCTCAGTGGTCTGCTCGCTCCTCGTCACGCTGGTTCCTGCAGGAGCACAAGTTCAAAGGTCAAACTCGTTTTGAACACGTTTCTTTTAAAGCACTGATTGAAAGTCATGAAGTCCTCAGGAAATGCCGTTAATGACTTAATACTGCTATCGACTTATAATACTGTTAACGACAAATAATGTTAATGACTTATTTTATTTATTAGAGCCGCTTCAATAAAACAAACTGTTCTGTTCACTTGAACTGTAGGTTTTAACTTAAGTTTCCTGGTAATTTGAAATAAACTCAACCTGCATAGTCCTTTTGTTAAACTGTAAGAAACGGGTACTTTATCCTTTGTCTATTATAACTTTTTACTTTTATAATTAGTTATTACAACAGAGCTTAAGGGACACACTAAGAAAAAAGAAACCATAAAATTATGAGAATAAAGTTGTATGACTTTTTTTTTTTAAACAACTTATTTTTTTCCACGAGTGATCCATGACTCGGCCTGTCAGTCGATCCAGTAGGCGTGTCGGCAAATGACCAATCCGAAGCTAAATGCTCCTTACCTGCAGAGCTGCGCTGCAGCCCATCAGAGCGTACCACCTGACTGTAAGCAGGTAAGCTGTGCATTAATAATTTTGTCCTTAAACATTGTAAAACAGCAAAGAAGTGAGTGCAGGCCTTCTGATGGACTGCAGGTAAGGAGTTGCGTTGTATATTTTGTTTCATGACTGTGAAGGTTGCCGACCTCCGACCTCTGAACGATCAGCTCAACGTTTGTTTGGACTCGTTACATAACTTCATATCCATAAATCCGGCGTGAACCGTTACGAACTCTGCGTTCGATGAGGTCCAGGATAAACTTCAGTTTGCAACAAGACAAAGTTTAAATTTTCGTGTCGTTCCCACTGGACCTCTTTCTTTAACATGTGGCGCTACTGGACTCGTAAATGATTCGTTTCATCTCGATATGGTTGAAAAGCGGCAGAGACTGGTTTCCTCTGAGCTTAAAGGTTGAAGGAATAAGACGCCCGGCCTCGAGATTCACAGAAATGCTTTTTAAACTTCCAACCTCTCAGAAAAGGTTCACGTTTTTAAGTCAAACTTTCTCAGGACGTGAAGAAACCGAAGTAACTTCCACTCGTTTCTATAAATTCCTGCTTGGCATTTGAAGAAGAACAAAAAAAAAATAGAGTAAGTCCAAGAGATTTGAATAATGGCAACTGAAAAATTAGCCTAATTAGCGAGTGGAGAGTCTCCAATTGTGTTGAAAATAAACGTTGCAGCGAACGAGAAGCCAATTTATTGTTCTGTTTAGAGGAGGCTCTAAACCAGAAGACCCCTGCTGCGAACACGAGAACTGGAACCTCCCAGCTGGCAGGACGCGACGACACATCCGCCAAACGCTCGTCGTCCACAAAGGGAACAAGGCGGCGCCACCGAGTCCAGAACAAAAGACATCAGCAGCTGTGCGTCTGCTCAAAGATCACAACTCGTCTTCTGGTCCACCTCGACGGACCCTTTACCCTCAGATCGTCTCTGTGGGAGGAACGGCTGCAGGACTACGAGCTGCAGGAGAACTAACGTGGTCCAAACACGACTTCCTGTGACAGGTCGTCACATCTGTCGCAGCACAGAGACGGAACTTGAATTTGGAGAACGCTGGAGGTTTTAAACGAACGTCTACAAAGATCAACTGAATTTAAAATATTCCAACTTCTGTTTAGTTCTGGCTCCTTCCACTTCACTCTGCGCCGCCTCAGACAACTAAAAATAACCAGTGGAACTCCTGCTCACTTGAATATCTCGCACCAAAAACATTTAGGTTTTTATTCTCTGTTCAACTCCAGTCCAGAAAAAACACTCATCTCTAAAAGAACATTCACTTTTCATGTCCCTCAGCGATGAAGGACATCGGCGTACTGCTCGTTCCTCTATACTTTCCTAACGGAGTCTTTCCTAACACTGTCAGACTACAGGTTTACTTGTTGTTCCTAGAGTTTCTAAAAGTAGAACGGGAGGCGGAGCTTCCAGGCTCCTCTTGACCAGTCTCTGAGGCTGACGCACCGATTACGTTAATAAATCCTATAGTTGGTCAGCATTGGGTTTCCTGAGATTTCCTATAGCTTTGCTGACATTTCTTCATACGGCTGGAAGACGAACTGACCACGTCACACTCTGCTGTTTGTGTCAGCAAAATGTTTTCAAGCACTCAACGATCGTTTGAAGTCGACGGTTCAAAGACTCAAGTTGTTTTGTTTTTTATTTGGACTTTAGCTGCTTCTTGTAAAGTTGTTTTTACTCCAAGCGTCGACACTTAAATCGATTAAAAATTAAACCTTTGGGGGTCTTTGTCCAGACAACCTGCCAAAAACAATTTGTTTTTATTTCTTTAAGCGAATGATGTCATTGTTTAATTTTAAAATCCAACCATTATATATACACCGGTGTGTTTGTGTATTTCATATCCGCCGCACATCCTGGGGACGTTTAGTGACGACACAAAACAGTATTTCTTATTCCTATTTTAAACTAAAGTAAAACTTGTGGTTTTCGCGGTTAAAGATGAGTAAATTCACATCATTCAAATTTAAATTTCGATCAGACTCTGGATTTGAACATGCAAACGACCTCAACGAGTCTCAGGTTTATTTTACCAACTGAACGCTCGTCCACACGGAGCCGACGCAGCATCGTGTCTGAAAAAAACTGTTTTTAAGGGACGGAACTGGACTGTGGCCTCGACATGACGCTGGACCAGGGTGTCCAGTCCTGGCCTTCGAGGATCTTGCACGGTGGTTCAGTGGGCGAACACGAACAGAGGAATTAACTGTCGGCTCTGAAACCTCTGAAACCTGCAGGTTAGTGGCCCCCGAGGACCAGGACCAGACTGGTCTGAGGACGACTCTCTTACCTTATAAATGGCCACATCTGCCACAGGAAAGATGGACGACTGCGTAAATGCCTTCATCTTTGCTTGTTAGCATAATATCTCATGAAGCACTGGACGCATTTCAATCAAAGTGATGGTTGAACGTTTAGAGACTCGCCCAGATTCAAGATGGCTGCCGCAGCTAACTGACCTCCGCCTGCACAGAAACCAGGAGAACTCCCTGAACTGCACAGACGTGATGGAGCCTGGTGTGGTAGTAGCTGAGAGTCGTACTCCGAGCGCTAACAGGCGCCGCCATGTGACGTCATTTTCAAGGTTTGAGCTCAAAAATTGATTCCTGGACATTTGATTTTAGTAGAAATTAAATGTTTGAAGTTAAACACAAAATGTCAAAAAGTTCATTTCACATTTAAATGAAAAATGTGTTCATCCAAGTTGGAATTTAGACGATCAGCATCGAGACACGAGTTGAGCAGCTAAACGTATTAAAGTTGCAGGAAGAAACGGGTTCGACTCCCAGAACTCGTCAAAGATTTTCTGCGCTTCACACGAAAAAGTTTTACAGAAACAGAAGCGCTCGGACGGAGACAGCCACGTCAGGAACATGTGGGTTTTTATTTTTTCTGTGGTGGTCAGAGCTTTAAAAAGACGACCAGAGGGAGGGTTGGTTTGAAACGTTGTTTTTATTCATCACATTCTGTAAACATACATTCACACTTACAGGCTCATACAGGGCTGTTCACAGAAACAATGGACCGGGCGGTTCTGGAGGCAAACTGAACACATTGTTAATCAAAGTCCGGTCCCTCGAAGGAGCCGACAGGAAGAAATGCATAAAAAAACTCGAACGAGGAAAACAACTGTAAACGAGAACATTTTGAAACTTCAGATTTGGGGACGGTTTCTGCAGCTTCAGCAGAACTAAAGTGCAGTTAAAGGCTCTGGTTGTCCAACACACACACACACACGATGTTTCTGAGCGTGGCTGTCTCGCTGCACGACAAACGACCGACCCGAGGTCCGTTCAGAGCCGAGCGCGCGGCCGCCGATCCAAACTTACCTCCGACTAAACGACGGGCGGCGGACGTGAAGCCCTTCGGGATTGTACGAGACACGAACGTCAAAACGAATGTTTACAAACGACAACAACGTGCCATCAGCTGGTTGAGACGCGTGGGTCGCCATCAGAACAAACCGGATGATTTCTGAACCGTTTGTTCACCTCAACTGAAAATTAAAGAGTTCAGTGAGAGCGCAGAGTTAATTCTGTTCCTTTCTAAAAGTCCCAGCTGCTCCAGTTGAATGTGTAAACTGAGCCGGTGCTGACTGATGGGAGTCACCACCAGAGGGCGCTCAAGCCTCATTTATACTTAGAGCTGCAGACTAAAGAACTTCACATCCTTCAGGAGAAAGACCGTCTGGGCGGCCGAACACGAGAAATCATTTGGCACCGACGAAGCTCCAGGACCAGACTTCAGACCGACTGGATCCTGTCGGAGCGAAACATGAAAAGGATTTAAAGCAAAAGGCACAAAAAGAACGACCGCACGCGGAACCTGCGGCGAAGCGTTCCAGCGTCACCGAACTGACCGAAAGGGCCGATCAAAGATTTGCTGCAAATCTTTTCGTCCTAAAAGCAACAAAACATTCGAGCGCTGATTGCATCATGCAGCCGCTGAACGAGTTTAAACACGAGAAATTAATTTAGATAAAAATTAAAAGTTTATAAAATGTTCCAAACTGGCACAGGAGCTTTTTGCTGCCGTCGACGTTCGACCGTTCACTGTGGCTCTGCCACACGTGCACGCTCACACACGTGCACACTCGAGTGGAGCGCGACTTCAGCGTTTGAGGCTCAAAGTTCTGACGTCCGAGAGGAACCTGAAGGCATCGTAAACAAACGAGACACAAACTTCCAAGTTTTTTTTTTTCCATCTTCTCAGACGAGCGACGTTCGGGTTTTGTTGCACTTAGGAACAGAAACGGGCCCGGTACCCGGCGTCACCCTACGAACGACGACGTGTTGGATTCAAAATAACTTATTTTTACTTTACTAAAATGTTCAACAAGGTCCGAACGCCACCGCAGCTCAACGGACCTTTATACGATGAAATCGGAGCTCGACCCGTGAGAACTGGGCGTCGGCGGATTTTAGAGAAAAGGTGGAAACTTTGAGAACGCGGTCGAGACTCCTGCGGAGACATCGGGGAACGTTTCGAGACATTTGTGAGACGGCGTCGAACAACTCGCAGAGTTTTCTGTACGTTTACACTCCGGTCAGGGCCGAGCCGGTGGCACTGACTTGGTGCTAAAAATTAACAAATAAAACTATTTAAAGGGCCGTAATTTGAAATATAAAAGACTTCCTGTCGTTCTTTTTCCCATTTTATTTTATTCAAAGCAGACGATATTTGCTACGTTGTAAAAAGTTTCTTGGTAAACTTTATGGGTTTAAATGGACGACACGTCTTTAATTTCTGTCTTTTAGCGACTGTTTAACTTGAAAGCTTAAAACAATTTTATACAAGCTTAAAATAATAACTTTCCTCCTTGATAATTGTTATCATGTCCAGAAATGATTGATTATCTTCACGGAGCAGGAATTCAAAGCTGCAGCAGCTTTTTGTGGCCGACGGTTTGTTTCAAGCAGAAATTTCCTTCTGTGTTTTTAACTGATCAGGTTCTTCTAAGAGACTTTGAACGACAGGTTTGTTCAAATTATACTTAAAATGAAAATACACAAGGCGGCACGTAGAGCTGCTGCCTCTCAGCGAAAAGGTTGCCGGTTCAAATCCCAGCTCAGGACCTTTTTGGGTGGAGTTTGCATGTTCTCTCCGGTTTCCTCCCACAGACCAAAAACATGCACGTTAAACTGTGAGAGAGTGAATGGTTGTCTTGCCTCAGAGTACAAATATCTGCTCATTTACTTGAAGAAAATCAAAATCTGTTCAGATCGACGCATCTTTTCCCTCCCGAATAATAAACATAAGTTGTGTAACGACTCGTTGTGTAACGACTCGTTGTTAAACCTCGCACCACGCTGATGTGTAGCTGAGTAACGCAGACACACAAAGGGCCGTCACAGATTCTGTCAATCATCCAGCTAAATGTAAAAGTACCTGGAAAAAGTAAAGTTTTAAGTAAAAGTGGTCTCATGTCTGAAGTGGAATGTGATGTGAACACTCAGCTCTCTAACGTTTCGCTGCAACGTGTTATTTTTACTTTACGTATTGCTTTGAACGACAGTAAAACTGCTTCTATACAAGTCCTTCTGCGACACAAACTTTAGTTCGGGGAGAACTTCATGAACGTCACTTGGAGCAGAGCAGTTGAGTCTAGCGATAAAATCTAAAAGCGGTAAAGATCTGCTCATCGTTCTCCTGAACCAAAAGCAACACCTGGACTTTCCAGGTTCAACCTGAAACAGGTGTGGGGGTTCCTGCCTGCGGGTCAGGGGGTCCACAGTGTGGGGTCCTCGTGGTAGAGACTCCTCTAAGACTTGCCTGCGTTGGCCACAAACGGGATGGAGCCGAACAGATCCTCGGGGGGTGGAGGCTTGACGTTGGAGGGCGTCGGCTGGTCCGTTTCAGAGCTCGCTGATCTCTCCGCCGGTTTTTCTGCTCGAAGGAGTTCAGAGAGGCGAACGTTAGCAAATCAGCTAAAGACGCTAAATGAAGAGTTTAATTGAGCAGGAAACCTGCCAAGTTTAGCTTCTGTTCTTTAGCTACTGCTGAGGTGCAGCTTAGAGCTACATACACGGTGCACAAAACAAAACGGATCACGTCTGCTGAAGCAGATTTTAAAAAGAACAAAACTGAAAAGATCTTTACACGTTTCTATAAAGTGACAGCTTGTAAATAAAGTTAATTCAAAAAGTATTAAACCATGAAGTCACGTGTGACATGTGAAAAGTTAAATCAGTAAAGTTTGAGTCCAAAAAACAAACTGTTCAGAAGAAACTACCGTACGGTCAATAAGCCGCTACATTTTTCACAGGCGGCTTAAACAACGTTGCAGCTAATTTATGGATTTTTTTGTTGTTGGTCGGACCAACGAGCTTCATGCCACCAAAACATTTAGCTCGTCACACATGGGCGCTCACATAGCTGCTCAATACACGTGGGGGGGGGGGGGGGGGTCATCTTGACTATATTTGACTGTGTAACAGAGAGTGGAGATGGGGGAATCCCCACAATGCACAGCTCCATAGAGGGGGATTCCCCCCTCCCCTCTCGTTTCATTGGTTAGAATTTTTTTTTTACCTTTATTTAAACAGGTCATCTCATCAATACACTGGGGGGGGGGGGGGGGACTCGTGACTCAATGAGAACACCCCATTAGTTCATTGTGGTTGACTGTTGGTCACGTGGCCTCAGAGGGATTATGGGTAAAATTTGTTCATTGTTAATCATTTTGGTTAGCATTGTTCTTTTAATCAGACTAATCACCATCAGCGTGTTTCTCGGTCAGTCTAGTTGCGCGTACGTCAGTCGAGTTGCGCGTTCCTCGTCGGTCTAGTTGCGCGTTCCTCGTCGGTCTAGTTGCGCGTTCATCGTCGGTCTAGTTGCCCGTTCGTCGTCGGTCTAGTTGCCCGTTCGTCGTCGGTCTAGTTGCCCGTTCATCGTCGGTCTAGTTGCGCGTTCTTCGTCGGTCTAGTTGCGCGTTCTT